CAAGATGGTTCGCCGCGCTGACCAGGCACAGCACCGCAAGGAGCACAAAGCCCGCAGCGTGCATCACCGTCAGGAAGGCCGAGCGCATCATGTTCGTGAAGGCAACCACGCCCGCGCACGCAAGCAGCACAGCCGCCATGCAGAAGTACTGGACGTGGCAGCCTCCCACGGGCGGGTGCACAGCCGCAATCAGGCCCACCGCACACAGCACCGACAGCTGGAACACGCACCAGTACGCGTGGCTGCCCCTCATGTTCGTCAGCATGCCGCCGTACATCCGTTGCTGCGCCGCGGGGTGCCAATACCCGACGGGGTACAGCAGGCGCTCGTGCAGCGGCTTCCTCGAAAACTGCCAGTACCTCGTGAAGCTCGCGCCCGTGTGGCGGGCAATCAAGTAGCACACGCCAGCAGGGAATGCCACACCGTACAGCACGCCAACGACACCAATCACGCGGTGCTGCACGCGGGCGCCGGGCATCGCCAGTGCGAGCACAGAGCCGAAGAAAATGCCGAGGTGCATCGCGTGCGCCACGACGTAAGTCAGGCTCGGGAAGCGCATCGCCGCCCACGCACTCGCCGTGTCCACGCCGCGCCACCGCTGGAAGGCCGCCGTCACACCGCAGTGCACGCACCCGAACACAGCGGCCAGCAGCGCGTTGCCCACCACCATCCACAGCGGGTCAAGGGCAGCAAACACCGACAGGAAGTACGGCAGCGCAACGGTGCTCGCACGCTCCTGCGCAGAGGCGCATGACATCCTCGCAAACACGCCGATTGCCTGCATCTCCAGGACGGAGCCGAGCCCGCCGGTCACCACCACCGCAACAGCCGCCGCACCCGCAACGACGCCGGTGATCGCCGAGAGGACGCTGGCAGCGGCGGGCAGCGTGTCAGACCTGATCGTGAAGGACCCAAGCAGCACACCCTTGCAGCCGCCAAACACTGCCGCAGCGTCGCAGCGAATGGCTAGCGTCTCGTCGGCAGCAATGAAGTAACCGCGGTGCACGGGCACAGCCAGCTCCAGGACGGTGGACGGATTCGTCGCGTTGCGCACCCACGTCGCGTTGCTCAGCATCGCTCCCCACGGACCACCAAACCCGCGCGGCTGCGCCGTCGACACCGGCACGAAGCTCAGGTGCGTGCCGAGCTGTGGGTCGCTTGCCCACCGAAACGGCGGCGGCAGTGCCACCATCAGCAGCGTCGGGACGGCGCTCCCACCGCCACGGATGTCGTTCTGCGTCAGGCTCTCACCAGCCGCCGTCGTCGTCACAGCAAGCGTCGGGCACGCCACCTCGCTCCACCACAGCGTGCTGCTCACCGACGCCGTCGAGGTCCGCGTGGGCGACAGCGCCACCGTCTCCGTCACCTGCAGGGTCACCGTCGTCCCGTAGTGTGTCAGACTGTAGCGCGCCGTGCTTAGGCTCGGCGTCGAACTTGGTGTCGGGCTGCGCGTCTCCGTCAGCGTCGCCGTGTGGCTCAGCAGCGGCATGCCGGGCGTGCGGTTGCACCCGTCCACGTGCGGCAGGTACACCGGCAGGCAGTCGCGCCCGTACCCGCCCTCAGCACAGCGGCAGCCGCACGACGCAGACATCGACCTCGTCGCAGCTGCAAAGCAGTGCACGTCGGCGTCGCACACGCCACACGCTACGGGGCGGAATTCCCCGATGATGCCGGCGGACCTGTACTCCATCGGCCGCAGCGCATGCCCGTTGAGCGTCAGGCACCCCACGACGAGCCGTCGGCCGGCGCCTCCAAGCGCAACGGTGCCGTCCATCACGACGGGCCCGCTGCCAGCGTTCCCGTGGAGCGTCAGCGTGCTCTGCACGAGTTCTGCACGGCGCGGGTACGACGGCACCGACAGGAGCCTGCCGCTGATGCT